GGTGTGTGTGTGTGTGTGTGTGTGTGTGTGTGTGTGTGTGTGTGTGTGTGTGTGTGTGTGTGTGTGTGTGTGTGTGTGTGTGTGTGTGTGTGTGTGTTTCCAGTGTCAGATGCATTAAAATGTTTTTGCCCCTAGTCTGAGCGGCAGTTTGGAGGGATTTGTTAACAAATATTTCATTTTACTGGGATTGCTTGACTCGAGCCTGTTTGAAAGTGGCCTCTTGGTTTGCACGTTGGATTTCTTAGGACACCCTTGTCCGTGTCCTTTGGTCTCAAGAGGATCATTTCCCACACATGGCTGTAGAACGTACTGGCCTTTGTCGTGTCCTGCATATGTATTCCACCAAATTAGGTGGGTCTTGGTGTGTGGCGGGGGGAGAGTTGCTTGTTTGTTTTGTTTGTTTTTACAGAGAGTTTCATTTTCTAAAAAGATCTTAGCTTTCTAAGCCTATCATCAGAATTCAGATCAGCTCCCACTTTGCAGATGTTTAACTCTCTTTGCTGTGTCCACACTTGGAATAATGTCCCCAGGTGCTTCAGAATGTGCCTATGTAGTTTGGTTTCTCTAGCGCAAGCAGTCAGGTAACTGTGATTAACACTTCAGAAGTTCAATGAACATGTGTTGGTGGTATAATGGTAAGCAGAGCTGCCTTTCAGAAGAGTAGAGAACTGTACAACACACGAAAAGGTGGTGGCATTGGTTATTCCAGCCTTTTTAGGCCATGGATGATGGCTCAGAATTATTTTGTTTCTTACCAGCCTAGTGTGATGCTGTGCATACACTGGGCCCTTAATAAAAACTGATTGGCCGAATGAACTTCTTCCTGGTCTTTCTACGATCGGGAGGTATAATACATTTTTCTGAGAGATAACAGCCCATCAGCTATACCTTTTCAGATGGGAGGGTAAGAAAGATTTGTATATAAAAGGCATTCAATAAATACTTGTCAGATAAATGAAAAGAAGTCTCTAATTGATTCAAACACTGGAGTCTTGACCCACAGAGCATCAGCTTATGCAGAATGCTATTTAAGGTACCGAGAGTAAAGCGTGTGTAAATTAAAAAACATGACTCCTACCTCTGAGAAACTCCCGTGTTAGGGTGGGGGGACGTATACCTGAATGAAAAATGATTGTGAACTTGAGCAGCCAAGAAAAGGTGCTTTAACCTCTTCATGATGATGGAAAGTGGTAAAAGTGGCACCGCTTGGCAGAAGAGTTTGTAATGGTCAGGAGGCGGGAGAGAAGACAGTGCTGTGGCTGGTCGTGCCCTGCTTCTGTGTCCTTCCCACTTGCCGTGTAAAAGTGGAGCCCTGGGATTGGTCTTGCTTTTCTCCCTACAGGATGGTTAAGAGGGCAGGCTCTGCACCCAGCACTGGGATTCGTGCCCCACTGGACGTCTTACCAGCTCTGCGTACTCTTGAACAAGTCATTCCACCTCTCTGGGTTTCCGTTTCTTCATCTAAAACAGGGATAATATCATAACTACTGCGTAAGGGTAGAGTGAGGATTAAGTGAGCTTAGGGTAAAGAGCATGCAGAGTGGAAAGCACTTGATCAGTATTAGTTTTTTCTCCCTTCGTTTCTTTATAGACTTTCTTCCCTGCTCAGGTGGATAGACCCATCCTCAACACCGTTAGGCCTTTAATAGAAAACAGTCTCTTCTCTCCTTAGTCAGTCTGTCTAATTGGAGGGATAAGCTGTAGATAAAATAGCCGGAGGACAAAAGCAAACCTTTAACACTGCACTGAGGGAAAGCCAAGTAAAGGAACATTTGGAATAAGCTAGTTAGCAAGGAGTCAGAGAAAGCATTTAGGAGAAGCCCAGCAAGGTCTTAGAAGAATAGAGTTTTTCCTAAGTTGGGGGAATGATAATGGAGGCAGGGATGAACAAGACTTGTGTGGTGGAACCCACTTGCAGAGTGATAGGTCTGAGAATTCCTTTTCCTCTGAGTGAACAGAGGCCACCCCAGATCTTTGCTTTTTCTTCTCTGTTAAGTTCCTCTGATTCTCGCACCATTCCCTCTGGCTGTTTTTCCGGCGTGACCTTGGCCAGGAGGCACAGCGGTCAGATGTGGTGGGGCCCCTGGAGCTGACCAGCAAGTAGAGTAACCAAGCGCCTGCGTTTCTTTCACAGGACTCTGACACCACCATACCAATGGATGAATCACTGCAGTTCAACTCCTCCCTCCAGAAAATTCACCACGGCATGGATGACCTCATTGGAGGCGGACACAGTATTCTGGAGGGACTGAGGGCCCAGAGACTGACCATGAAGGTGGGGGCCCTCTTGGGGGACAGGGAGAAGGCCTTTTGTTTTGGCTTTATCCAAAAGTGTGGGACCTGCGTTTACCTTTTGATCGCATACCCCTAAATTGTGATACTGTGATAGTGAGACAGAGCCTTTGAGTTTGGGTTCCTTTCTGTTGGAATTGAATTATTATGAGTCCAAAAGGAGCCAGATTCCCTTTGCCAGTAGGTGTTTCTTGTGTTTGCAATGAACCATAATGTGGCATCTCTTGGTATCCAGGTCTTTTTCCATTTCCTGAACTTAATGTAAAGTGACTGCTGCTATGAGAGGAAGCAGTAATGGACTGGGAAATTCTGTTACAGAATCCGCTCTCTCAAGAGGGAAGACGCAGCTGTACTTGGCCTCTCGCTCTCTTTCGGTTTTCCTGTGTGGCGCCCCCCACCCACCCCGCGCCCACCGGTGGACGGCCTTATAGCCGAGACCTCTGTACTGCAGCAACTGAAGGGGGTCTTAGGGCTGCCTTGGTTGACTAGCAGCGGGTGCCTTCTAGAGCACAGGCTGGTGATCCCCAGTGACTCTTCACTTTCTCTTTAGCAACAGGTATTCCTAGAAGCCCTGCCCCATTGGCTGAGACTCAAAACCCCTGGGAGTGGTTTACAGAAACATTACACAGCCTCTGATGTCAGTCATGATGTTTCAGCCTCAGCCCTTTTCCTGTGTCAACCCTGATGGATAATGGGGTGTGGGCTGTGTCTGTTATCAGGGTGTGGTCCCCAGTGGACCAAGCCCTCCCAGCCACTGAGCTGTGAGAAGCAGTCACTCGGAAGCGTGAGCTTTATCTTAGTTTTTGTTGGACCGTGTTGAGCCTGTCAGCTCCATGGGACTTCTGTACATTTCTGAGCAGCGCCTGCCACCTTTACCCAGGAGAAGGTCAGGCGAGCTGCGAGTGACACTTATCTCTTGCTGATGGCTTCAAATGGTCTGGAAGCGTGGTCTCTGACAGCTCCATGGGTGCCCCCCTTTCAGAACAGCCACCTGCAGTAATCTAAACTGATACATGATGGTTAATCCTCCCTTTCTTTAGAAAACTGCTGGCCTCCTTCCCATATCTCAGAAAAACAGTAAAACCCTTTTAGGACGAGACTCACCATGTCACACTCAAGTTGACCCGCTGGGGGTCAGAGCTTATTGTTAAAGCACATGTCAGCTTCTTCCCGAAGTCTGGTGTCACTGAGGAGTCCAAGCAACTTCTGCCCCGACACTGCCCCCAGAGGTGAAGCGCCGGGAAGTCTGGTGGGCAGTCAGGGGCTGGAATGAGAGGTTTCTAATTCCGTTTCCTCTGCACGCCTACTATACCTGTCTTTTGCCTCTTGGTTCCCTCCACCTGCCTCCTACCCCACTTCTGTCAGGAAAGTTTCTGCCCAAACCATTTGAAAGGAACATAGGAGGGAGCGTGAAGGAACCGGGCCTTGATTTGGGGTGGAAAATGAATAACATTTTTGAAATTTATGTTAATTTTCAAGTGATTTTCGAAGCTTGGTACTTGAACTTCACAGAGTGATGAAATAATCTGCTCTTTCAGAGGTAAGCGGAGTCTTTAGTGACAGTCTAGTTTATACCATCATTGTTATGGGAAAAACATGTCTCTGGTCTCTGGCAGAGATAAAGTTTGACCTGAGAGATCTCTCTCCGTGAGGCTTGTATATCATTGTCTGGGCAGAGCGTGGGTCTTGAACTCCTGTCCGTGATGCCTGTGTTCTCACCTCTCTTGCATCTTCTCTCAGTTGCTCGTTACTGTGTTCACTTAAAAAATGGTTGCAGGACATTAGGTTAGATGCCGTCATACAGATGCAGTTGGTGATGTGTGTAAGTTAAGTTGGGGTCTGCCCAGCTTTCATTTATATTTGTTACTTCATACGAAATTGAATGTGCTTAAAAATGAAAATTAGAAAGCAGAGAGGAAGGGTGGCCTGGGTGGTTTGGGCTGTTGGTTTAGGAATAAAATACCCTTTTGTTTTGGGTGGTGGGTGATGACATTCCTATAAGGAGTTGTAGGTCCTTGGGTTGGTGTCTGCCAGTTGTGTTTCTGTGGTTCCATCTTGCCCCCTTCAAACTCTCTTATAAACGTGGACACAGACCCATACGTTGTACTCAGCAGAATCCCTGCGGTTTCTCCTCTACAGAGTACACAGGCTGAGTGCAAGCATTTTAGAGCCAGGGAGCAGAGAGAAGTTTTTTGATGTTGCCTTTTTTTTCAATATAAAATATTCTAATTTATAACTTTTTTTATGGAGGTATAATGTGCATACGGTGAGGTATACAGATCTTATTTGTACAGATCATTGAATTTTGACAAATACATCCATCCGTCTTTGTAACTCACACTGCTGTCAAGGCAGAGACCGTTTTCACCACCCCTGAAAGATCCCTTGTGCCCTTTCCCAGTCAGTCTACCCCTGTTCCCTCCGCCTGCCCCAGGCAACCACTGTTCTAATTGATTTCACCATTTATTAGTTTTGACTGTTGTTGAACTTAATGTAAATGTATTCACATTACGATTTTGTGTGTGACTTCTTCCTCTCAGGAATGTTTTCCAGGCTCATTCGCATTGTTACATGGTGTAATCAGGTCCTTTTTATTGCCCAGCAGTATCCCGTTGTGCACAGAACACACATTGTTAATCCATCCTCTGGTTGATATACACCTGGATTGTTTCCAGTTTGGGGACATTCTTCTGTTTTCTTCTAGAAGCTTTATTATAGTTTTAGCGTTTTTGTTTAATTCTACGAACGAATTAATTTTTATGTATAATATGAATCAAAGGTCTTTTTTAACACTAATATATTACATACAGACATATATGTACGTGTGTGTATGTGATACATACATGTGATACTCATTATACACCATCTGTTCCAGCACATTTGTGGAAGACTTTCCTTTCCCCCTTGCTTTGCTCTACAACCTTGACCAAAAGTCATTTGGCGATAGGAGCGTGACCTGTTTCTGGTGGCCGCTGCTGCTTGTATGCTTTAGGCATGACCAGGAGACTGTCTGTTGGTAAAGCCCCATCTCGTGATGACATTCACCCATCCTTGGTAGAAGGAGTTGATCTTTGTTTTTCTTCCTCTTCTCGTCTGTCCCAGGGGACCCAGAAGAAGATCCTCGACATCGCCAATATGCTCGGCTTGTCCAACACAGTGATGCGGCTCATCGAGAAGCGAGCTTTCCAGGACAAGTACTTCATGATCGGTGGGATGCTGCTCACCTGTGTGGTCATGTTCCTTGTGGTGCAGTACCTGACCTGAGCCAGCCAGGCCCCGTGGCTGAACAACGGTCCCACGGCGTGAGAGTGTGTGTGTGTGTGAGTGTGCAAAGAGAGGGAGGCCCGGAGGCTGCCTTCTGAAATGTGTGCCCATCTTAACTGTGAAGACCACTCAGAAGTAATTGTGACCTGCAACCTGGTGGGAGTTTCAAACCTCTGTTTTTTGTGACATCTTGGAGGGGAAACTCATGCTACCAAGATGTGGTGCTTAGGAAATGAACGAAGTGTCTGTTCTCTCTCATGCTCACTGTCACTCTCACTGGGGGAGGAAGTGATGCAAGGGTAAGGGAGGACCAGGGAGAGGGGAGGAAGAGAATGGCCTTGGTGGTTTTTGTCCTCATAGCTGATGTGCACCCAGGAAGGCTTTCACGGTGAGCTTGCAGACAGGACTGTCCACTCTTTGCCATCCACTGGCCTTTCTGGCTCCTAGTAGATAGTCTAGAGCAGAAGCAAAGAGAGGAGGGGAAAGAGGCCTTCTTTTCCTGCACCCACTACAGTAGGTGGGTTCACATGCTCTTGCTACTAGCCACCTTCCCCCACACCCCTCCAAAAAATAATGACATGCCAATGACTGACTGCTAATACTCGTCGTCCTTCCCCGGAAGCAGCTACCTAGAGGAAACAGAGGCATTGGCACTGTTGCTGATAGCAAGATTTTCCACATCACGGATGTTGGGTGTTTCTCCTTTCTAAAGTAAGGCCACTGTTAACTCCCTGGGAATGGTCAGTCTTGAAACTGAAGACCCTAGTCACCGATATTTTTCCCAGTAGTTAATGGTTGGCTTTTAAGACTGCAGCCTGGCACCCGTGCCCAGGCTTTGGTGGGTGTTTGCCCCTTATCAGGTAGCTGTGAGCAAAGGTTAGTGATTTGTCTTTTACAGTCTCATCTCTAGTTTTAGTGTCTCTAATTAATAATTGGCTCTCTTCCCTTCCTTGAAATATATTAGCAACTGCCAGCCAAGCCTCCATTCTGCCCAGCCAGTGTGGGCACATGCCTCCCTGGAGACGTCTCTGGTGTGTATGTCCTTGTAAGACTCTGTTTTCAGGGACCAGGACCTTTTTCCTTCTCGGACCAACTCTAGATTAAGGCTGTACCGGTACCCGGCGTATTGTGGAATTTATTGTAAAGCCAGTCTGTTCAAGGAGACTAATCACTGAAAGTACCAGAAAGACCTGGTTAGCCTATTTTTTCATCTGTCACAGGCCCTACCAGCCCTAGGCTCAGTATGGCAAGACATAAATAACACTCACAGTTTCCCAGAGGAACTGTAAACCTGGTCAGTATTAACCCCACCTTTGACTGTCTTGCCCTACCTACTTCCCGTCTTTGTTTCTTGTCATTTGGACTATCTTCTGTCATCTTTCTCTTTTCTGTGTGTTTTCTCTTCCACCTTCCTTCTTTACCACCACCCCCCACCTGTTTCTGTAGCAGTATTGATCTTTGTAGGCACATCTGTGGCATAGATCCCTTTTGGGGGAATGATTCTTAATTGTCACAGGTTTTGTTTTTTTGGGTTTTTTTTGCTGTACGCGGGCCTCTCACTGCTGTGGCCTCTCCCGTTGCGGAGCACAGGCTCGGGACGCGCAGGCTCAGCGGCCATGGCTCACGGGCCCAGCCGCTCCGTGGCATGTGGGATCCTCCCGGACCGGGTCACGAACCCATGTCCTCTGCATCGGCAGGCGGACTCTCAACTACTGCGCCACCAGGGAAGCCCTGTCACAGATTTTTAACATGAGTTTCCTGGGTACTGATTTCACACTTTTGGTAGGATCTCTGTTGCTCTTACTTGTCTGGGCTAAACGGGGGCCCTGGGTTTCCAAGGAAAGGGGAATCTTTGATCCCTTCATAAAAGGATTGAAGGCTCTGCCAGAGTGAAAACATTGGCCTGGTGGATGGACAGAGGGGTGGAAGCATCTTCAGACCTAGCTCTGACTTTGGGGAGGCCCAGTTGGAAATTTCCATCATACCCAGCACCCCTGCCATCCCAGGGACCCAGCACAGGTCTCTTAGCAGTGCATGAAATGGGTTTTTAAACTGCACAGACTTGGCTCTGAGCCTGGGCACCTGAGGATCCTGCCAGACAGTGCACTTTGGAAGAAGATGTACAAGGAGCAGCTAAGCCATTTGGACTTGAACTCTGGGGAGGCAGAAACTCCCCCCACCCTCTGCCCTCTGTTGGCTGATGTGACACCTATTTGTAATGTACACCAGTCTGTTTCCACACTTGCCTTTCTAGTGATTGTTGGCCTCGACGAACCAGAAGTAAGGCCTTCCTTCGTGCTGCACCTTCAGAGCCATTCTCCCTACTTTGTAATAAAAATAGAGGGGGCAGTTTGTGGGTCTTCACCACCCGGAGCTAAGAACAGCAGCCACAGTATGCCTGGAGACCCTGGGGCACCTCGTGTCATCGTGTGCTTGCCCTTCCCTGTCACACATTGGCTTTCAGTGCTCTGTGAGCAACACACTTTGTCTCCACAGTCCTCAGAGTGTAGGGCAGGGTCTCCAGGCCGGGGAAGGAGCACCCTCTAGTGGAGTTGGGGTGAATTCTCAGGTGCAAGAATCTCCAGGAGCCGCCTCTGCGACCTTGTACAGGATTTTGGTGTACCTATTGGGGTTTAAGACAGGTGGGTTGTCAAGGAACTTGGAGAATCTTCATTCCGTGGATGTGTACTCCAGGTGTGATAACCTTAAGAAAAGCCGAACTCCACGACCAAGTAAGTAGGAGAGTCTTCATTTTATAGAAAGCTTCGCTGCTGGGATTTTTCCTGTCCTTTGCCCTGATGAGTTCAAATGGGTTTGATTTGCAAATTTGGCTTTACACTCATTGTTTTTGAAACACATCAGTTGAATAAAGTTGCTGTTTATTTTATTTAGAAAATTACATTTTGTAAAGGAATTTGACATTCATCGTCATAACCAATGACCCTTTTTTTCTCTCAGGCCAGAGATTCTGAAACACTGTTCCGAGACGAGGGGTGGGTTGGCTGCCTCAGCAGTAGCTGGGAAACTTTTTAAAAATTATGAATTCCTCCGGCCTAGCCCAGACCTTCTGCATTAGAATATTTTTTAAGTCTCTGAGGTAATTCTGATGTGTGTCTTTTATTTATTTTCCACATTTATTTAGGTATTTTATATTTGGCTGAGTTGGGTCTTTGTTGCTGCACGCGGGCTTTCTCTAGTTGCGGCGAGCGAGGGCTACTCTTTGTTGCCGTGCACAGGCTTCTCGTTGCGGTGGCTTCTCGTTATGGAGCACAGGCTCTAGGTGCGCGGGCTTCAGTAGTTGCGGCATGAGGGTTCTATAGTTGTTGCTTGCGGGCTCTAGAGCACAGGCTTAGTAGTTGTAGCACGCGGGCTTAGTTGCTCTGCAGCATGTGGGATCTTCCTGGACCAGGGCTCGAACCCTTGTCCCGTGCATTGGCAGGCAGACTCTTAACCACTGCACCACCAGGGAAGCGGTAGACAGAGGCTTTTGGTTTTTTGCTTTTTTGTTTTTTTGTTTTTTTTGCGGTACGCGGGCCTCTCACTATTGTGGCCTCTCCCGTTGCGGAGCACAGGCTCCGGACTTGCAGGCTCAGCGGCCATGGCTCACGGGCCTAGCCGCTCCGCGGCGTGTGGGATCTTCCCAGACTGGGGCACGAACCCGTGTCCCCTGCATCGGCAGGCGGACTCCCAACCACTGTGCCACCAGGGAAGCCCCAGAGGCTTTTGTTTTAATCAAAGACTATAGCATTTGAAAACATGCGAACTAAGCATATATGAGTGAAGAGCAAAACTTATCAAGTCCAAAATAAAGTCTTAATTTGTTTATAACTTATTCCAGGAAAGATTTGAGGAGACTTAGAGGAAATAACTAAGACAGTGAAATATAAAGAAGTGAGAACCAAGAACAAGTCAGTAGAATGTCAGTGCCAAGAAAAAGACACATACAAGTCATGAAGCCCCACAAAAACACAAAAATCAGGGAATCCCTGATTAGGCCTGGAGCCAAAGCAAAGAGAGAAGCATGGTCTGTTACTGTCTGTTGAAGGGTAGGATGTCATATTTGCTCAGAGGAGAGCCCAGACCTTGACTACTGCTAGCTTGCCTGTGGCCCATACTGGAAGTCAGGCATGGTTAGTTTCCCGGGTCTTCCCTCTAATCGTCACAAACCCTCTGAGTTAGGCTATGTGTCATTTCCTTTGTGCAGATGAAGGGATGGAGCTTTAGTGACTTTTCTCAAGGCCCCACAGGGAGTCCAGGAGGAACCAACCCCTCCTCTGTCCGGCTTCATAGCCCAGGCTGATAAACACTGCACCCGTGCTCGGGACGAGATGCAGGAGACCAAGGCAGCTTTCTGGGATTGGGTAAAGGGCTGTAACGCATTTGGTGCACCTTACATGGCAGGTTCTCTGCTCTGAAGTATTTTCCTTATTTGAAGGGGGAGAGAGAATTTGAGGAGGAGCTTCTGGAGTGGAGAATGGAAGATGTACTCAGATCTTGCCACTAGGGGGCAACATAACCCTTTCTGGCTGGTCTGCCCAGAACTCGGCTCTGCCTTAGGGCTGGTGTACTTGGAAGAGGAGGAAACACCTGCAGATCTAGTTTGATTCAGATCCAGAAATTCCCTGCCGAGTAGCGGCTTCGGGCTCCCTTCGAGCTCCCTGGAGCTCTCAGGGTATGGCCCCAAATGCCTTCTGAAATCCTAGTTCATTGTGGTTTCTAGGGCTCCCCTCCCCTTTCAGTCTTTCCCTCAGCACACGGGCATATTGCAAACAAGGGTGGAAAGTGTTCCCCGGTGTGATGTCAGTTCCTTCTTCCCTTTTTGTGTCCTTTCGTGTCATGTGACACATGGGAGAGGAGGGAAGTGGCATGGCGGTGAGGGGACTCTGCAGGTCCTTGGCCCGCTCAGGTGCGGTTGGCAAGCCCCCCCCACCATAGAACCTCCTTGATGAGCAGGCCCCCCCTCATCCCCATGTCCCGCTAGCAGAGGGCTCCCAACCTTGGCTCCACATCGGGATTCCCTCCAGAGCTTTTAAAGATACCTGTGTGTGGGTCTTACCCTGATCCACTCTGATATAATTGGCTTGGGTTGCAGCTTGGATATGGGGAGTTTTAAGGGTTGCCCAGGCATTTGTAATGTGTAGACAAGGGTGAGAGAGACTGGTCTAGCACAGGAGGGTTCTACCCAAGGCAAGGAGGGGGACCACTTCCCCAGACCAGCTGGGGATGGGGTAGAAGCTTACTTTTCCCATGTGGTTTGGGAAGGGGCCAGATCCTTCCTGGCCTGTGGACCCCCTCATTGACTGATGCCTCTGTGTCTGCTGAGGACAGTACCTTAGTGTGACAGGCCAGCCTGTCACTGCCCCCTCCAGTGTACCTCCTGGCCCTCCCTACCAGCCCTGCCCGGTTCTCCATCCTCCCTGGACTGCTTGGCCTTCTGGGAACACGCCATGCCCTTTTGTACATCTGCATCTTTGTTTCCACCCCCAGCATACCTCTAGCACCACATAGTCCCTGGGGAGTGGTAGTTGTTGAGGTGTCCTCACTGCAGGGACCTTTCTTGTGCATCCTGTGCACAGTAGGCGCCCCACAGGTATTGGGTCATGGCCTGTAGGAGGGCACTTGAGCCCGGCCCAGGCAGCTGACAGACTTCCGAGAATGGAGGCCACGGACCAGCTGCGTTGCTGTGGCTAGGCCAGGAGGAAGCCGGAAGGGTGAAGGCCACTGGTGGCACTGGCCTTGTGCTTGTAGGCCCTCAACAGCAGCGATGGTCACTGTGAAAGCAGGCAAGGCACGGGAGGGAAAACGCACCAATCAGCACTGTTTGGGGAGAGACAAGGGGGCAGCTAATTCGTTCTGGCTCTAAAGCTGAAAGTCCTGAATCCTGGTGACCTCCTCAGGCTGGAGTAAACCAGGGTGGTTGGTCATCCTGTGGACACTAAAGACTGTGACTGATTCAGGGCACCCAGGAAGAGGGGACTGTGGCTGTGGAGGCTGTCTCCCTGGCCTAGCAGTTCTGTTGGTGGCGTCTCCCCAGCCCCTCCTCCTGGAGAGCTGACATAGACTTGCCCAGGCCTAGCAGGGAAGCCTTCCACCTCCTCAGCCTTGGGTACCCAGCTACCAGAGCCCTGGCATATGCCCAGCACCGTGTTAGCTGTTTCAGGGCAGACAGAGGGGTTGGGAGCAGCCTCTGCCCTCTGCGGCTAGCAGTAATTAAAGAGGCACGACGCAGCAGTAAAAGCCCTGAATCTAGGATGCCGACGCCTGGTCTCAAGTCGCAGCCCTGCTGGCAGCAGCCGCATGGCAGGCACCTCTCTGAACCTAAGCTCTCTCCTCTTAGAATGGGAGTAACACCTGTCTTTGTCCCTTCCCAGGGTGGACATGGGGCCCAAATAACCTAGTGTTTGTAGCAGACTCCAGAGGTCTGAAGAAGTGCTTCTCAGCCTAGGCCACTTACGGGGGAGCTTTAAAAAGTCTTGATTCTGGATCTTGCCCCCAGAGGATCTGAGCTGCTTGATCAGGGGTTTGGCCTGGATTTCAGGCTTTTTTTTTTTTTAACCTTCCAAGAGATTCTCACGTGCAGCCAGGGTTGAGAACCTCTGCTCTAAATGCCTTCCCGGTGTGATAGGTTATTCCTGTTTAACTGGAAAGGCAAGAACTAGTCGCATGAACCGAGCAGAGGACAGGGTAGCATGCAGAATCTCCCAGGGTGGAGGGACAGCAGTTTGGAGTGGCCGTCTCAGTGGGGCGTTAACTAGGATGGGCTTTCTGGGAGAGAGCGCGGTGATGGCTGCGGGATGCTTGAAGGAGAGGAAGAGTCGTGGGAGAAGTTGAAGGGGAGGCGGCTGGCATGGGGGAGTTAACAAGCTCTAATCAGCCTCTAAGTGTCAGAGGCGACGAGGGAGAGCCGCTGGGAGGGCTGACTGCCATCGTCTGCTTGGCTCACAGCCCATCGGAGAAATGGTTGATGCTCAGAGTCTCAAGAAGCCTGAAATGGAGCTGAAGCCTTGGTGGGCTGTCGCTCATCAGGGGCGAGCAGGTGTGGGCTGTGCAGGAGACGGTTCCACTCCCCCTTCCCCTTTCCAGCCTGGGGCACGGCCCCCCCTTCTTTCAACCAAGACATCTGGGGCAAGGCCTAGCCTCGGGCTCTGCTCACCTCCTGGCACCTGTCGGCATGCTCTGCTAAGAGTTCCTCATGCTAGGGCCTGTGCAGGGACAGGGGCAAGGGGTCGGAGAGCTGGGACCTCTGTAGGAGCAGAGAATAGTCATCGCTGTCCCCTGGACCTCTCCATGTTGTTGTGAATATCAAAAGATAAAATTCTGAACGCTCCTGGGTGTCGTGTGAGTTCTTGCTGCATGCACGTGTGGGCGCAAAAGTCAGTGTCCAGGAAACCATTTCTTTCTTCTCCCTCCTTCACCGCTGTGGCAGGGAGCAGCTTCTCTTACCGCGGCCCACAGGCCTTGGGAGACCCTTGGCAGGCAGCCCCCGGGGCAGAATTCCAGATTGGGAACCTTGGTCACCTCCTCGAATGAGAAAGCATCTTGAAACAAATTTTCTGAGATCATCCATTTGGAGGGAACAGCGCTCAATTAAAGATGTAGAAGGGCTGGGATATTCACTTAAGGAAAAAAAAAGTTCACCCCTAGTATTGTACCCTTTTAAAATAAGAAGTCGATTTAATAATTACGGGAGGTGTCACAGGGCAGGGTAGATACCCAAGACGAGAGCTTATCGAGATGGGGGCGGAGTGGTGTTGGAGTGCTTCCTGGAGGAGGGAGGACAGGGGCCGGGTGGAGAATAGGTCAGTGGCCAAGGATGGTACTGACTGACGTCCTCGCAGGACATCCCTCCCTGGGGAGGGGTGCTGCTTTGAAGGGGAGGAGTGTGAGCTCAGTTCTCAGCTGGCCGGGTTTCAGAGCGGCCTGTGGAAAGAGTGGGAAAGTATTGGGTAGGAAGCTGGAGCTGGGGGTGGAGGAAAGCCCTGCTGTGAACGCAGATGTAAGGATCCTTAGTTGTTGTCCTGAAACCAGAGCAGTGGGAAGGATCCCTGCGCACGCCCTGAGCTCTGTGGACTCAGGAAGGAGGAGGGGGGACGCTCCTAAGCCAGCCTCGCCGTGAGGGTCTGGGTTAAAGCCTGCTCTCTGGCGTAAGTGTACAGGAGGGAGGGTTTACTGGGGCTCCGGGTAGCCAGTCTTTCTCAGGAGCACCTGGGTCTGAACTCCTCAAACATGGAGCAATCACCAAACGGGCACAGGTTGTGGAGGCAGCGGCTGGCACTGCCACATACCCTGAGAGCTCACCACAGCTCATTTGTGACATGCTGATGAGACTTGGTGGAGAAGCTGTTAGTCTAATGTGTGGTGTGGACAAGTTCAGCTCTCCTGGGAGGACCGGGCCACCAAGGACCTTGACGTGATCTTGTGAGATGCAGCTAGCATGAGGGTGGTGGGATGGCATTTGTGATGGGGTTGGCAGACATGGCTTAGCCACTTCTTAGCAAGATAACCTTGGGCTTAATTGTCCAAACCTGTTTCCTCATCTGTGTGATGGCAATAATACTAGCTACCTCATAAGGGTGGCTTATGTGCCCATATTTGAGGTCTTGGCAGTCAATGGAAGCGATTTGTTAAGAGGCAGAAAAGTTTAAGTGGTTGGAATCAAGCAGGCCTGGGTATGCAGCCCATCTCTTGTCATTATTGTGTTACCCCAAGCAAGTCATATCACCTATCCCAAGACTCTGCTCTCTTATAGGGATAAATTATGCCCATCCCAATGGGAGGCTGGGAGCCAGTGAACACTGCAGTGTATATAAAGTGCTTCTGCACAGCCTGGGACATAAGAAGATGGTAGCCGAAGGTTTTTTTTTAATTGTTAATTAGCATTGTATAAGACCTAGGTCTGGTCCATTCTCGTTCAGCTGACGTGGCTGTTAGTCAAGGACCCGAGATCCCTAAAGAAAGTACAGCAGACATTCACAGTTAGACTTTATTTGTGAACAGGTATGATGTCGTGGATATAATACTGCATTTGGCATCGGAAGATCTGAATTCAAATCCCTGCTTTATTACTTATTATCACTTGCTTACTGTCTCTTTCTCTCAACCTCAGTGTCCTCAGGTATGAAATGGGGATGGTAATAATGACCTACTTCACAGAACTGTGGTGAGGACAAAACGATCAGTTGCGTGGACCAGTGAGGATGCTCTGGGCTGCAAGCACAGGCAACTCCAAGTAGCTTAAAGAACCGATGGAGCTGAAGTAGGCTGCAGGGTTGGTTGTTTCAGGGCTCAGTGATGTCATCCAGGGCAGGCTTGGGACTGCCTAGGTTCCCTGAGAGCAGGGGAACTCTGGGGGAGAGGATGTAGGAGAGGTGAGAGTGATGATTGAAAGGTTAGACTAGAATTGTCACCTGCTGAAGTTCAGTCATTCAGTCATTCAGTAAATACTAATTGGGCACCCACTGTGTGTCATCATGGGGCTGGGCCTTGTAGTACAAGCGTGATTCACGAGGTCCCACCTGCATTACGTTTGCATAACGTCACCACAAAACATAGGAGCTTAAGATAGCAGTACTCCACTGTTATATCTCACCGTTTCTAAAGATCTGGAACTAGGACAGGGCTGGGACAGCTCATCTCTGCTCCATAACGTCTGGGGCTTCAGCTGGAAGATTCCAGGGCTGGGGATGGGAATCATCTGAAGGTTCACTCACAGAGGTGCTTGGATGTCCGCTGAGCTCCTTGGCTGGACCTGTCCACTAGGACACCTGCACGAGGCATCTCCATGCAGCCAGGGCTTCCCCACAGCATGATGGCGAGGTTCCAAGAGTGAGCACCCCAAGGGTAAGAGCCTGGGGGGAGCTGTATCCTACTTATGACCAAGCCTCAGAAGTCACGGCATCAGTTCTGCCATACTCCTTGGTCTATGGCAGTCACAAGCCCCCCATTTCCTTTCGGAGGGAAGAATGTCAGTCACGGGAGCATGCGGGGGGCAGCTGGGAGCTTCAGGAGCGTCTGTCTGCATGCTCAGACACCCCCAAGCTCAGGAGCAAGATGGCCCCGAGCAGCGAAGGCCAACGGGATTGGGGGCTGCCACAGCATCTTACCTGTCTCAGAACCTGCTCAGCAGCCTGAGAAGAGCCAGAACTGGTCTCTGGGGGGGACACCCTGTGCCGTGGTGGGGTAGTGCAGTGGGCTGAGACGTGGGGCTGATGAGATCATAACTGTCAGGTTCCAGATCCCAGAAGAGAGGAAAAGTGGAGCTGGAAGGGTCTTAGGGACCTTCTGGGAGAGTGACTTGCTAGGGATCACTCAGTCAGTTGTAATAACAGATCTGAAGTCAGAATGGAGGTCCCCTACTCCCAGTGCAGTGCTTCTGCCATTTCACCCCTGCCATGGGCATTCTCACCTTGCCAGCTTGTCCTAATCCTAGCCTGTGGCCCTCGCCCGAGCTACAGTCCCATTGCCTGGCACTATACCATACTCTTGCCAGGCACAGCTAACTCAGGGTGGCAGGAGCCATGCCAAGTCGTCTCTGATTAGGGGGTATCTCCCCAGGCCCCTCAGATATTGACGTGATCTGGCACGCACATTGCCAGATTGTGATGTCCCTAAGAGAATGCAGACAGAGGTGGACAGAGCCCACGAACGTGGCTGAAACGGCGCTTCCAGAGGTGCCCGCTTGCCGCCCACAGTGAAAGCCTGGTGGTGGGTGGCATTCTCCCCTCGGGTTACCCATTGGACCATTTTTCATCCTCCCAGAGTCAGTTTCCATGGAAACAGCAAGTTCCTTTCCCATCATTTTCATCCTTAAAGATTCCCACCAGAGCTGTCTGTGCCTGGGCTCCTCGCCCAGCTGCTGCATCAGCCGGCACCAGATCCCAGGTTTAATGGTGAATTGTCACGCTGCCAGGTAGAGCCGCCTGGGATGTGTCTGATAACTGGCATAGCCCTTACTGGGTTAGGAACTTGCTCTCAGTGGCTCCCTCTTGCTCCCGTGTCAGAGCCACCTCCCTCCTCTCCCCTGCAATTTGGCATTGGAGGTCTTCCCCGTACCCCTCTGCCCCACCTCCCAGGCCAAGATAATTCTTTTTTTTTTTTTTTTAATTTATTTTTGGCTGCGTTAGGCCTTCGTTGCTGCGTGCGGGCTTTCTCTAGTTGCGGCGAGCGGGAGCTACTCTTCGTTGCGGTGCCCGGGCTTTTCATTGCGGTGGCTTCTCTTGTTGCAGAGCACGGGCTGTAGGTGCGTGGGCTTCAGTAGTTGTGGCACACGGGCCCTAGAGCGCACGGCTTCAGTAGTTGGGGCACGTGAGCTCAGTAGTTTTAGCGCGCAGGCTTCAGTAGTTGTGGCTCGCGGGCTCTAGAGCGCAGGCTTAATAGTTGTGGCGCACGGGCTTAGTTGCTCCGCGGCATGTGGGATCTTCCTGGACCAGGGATCAAACCCGTGTCCCCTGCATTGGCAGGCGGATTCTCACCACTGCTGCACCAAAGCCAGACAGTGACCCAGGTGGGAAAGGGAAGCCTCCAGTTTTCTGGGGACCAGGTACACTCAAGGAGGACCCGACCCTCACAGCCTCAGGGTGGGCTGTCCACTCCTCCTCCCCTCTCTTTCCCAGCCAGCCCTGTTCCTGGCCTCTGTGTAGCGCTTCTCCCTCTGGGCTTTTGCCTCCCTGCTCCTCCTCTCTAGCCATCACCTCCTTCACACCCCAACTCCAAGTTCACTCCCACCAGGATGTCTTCCTTTCTAAACCATTTTTCTCAGTGCACCTCTATTTGGTTCCTGCAGTATAACTTTGTATATATTGTATCAGGGAGAGGAGGAGATTCCTGAAGCTATTTTTCTTTTTAAAGCTTTTTTTTTTTTTTTCGGTATATTTTCTTTCTGTACTGGAGAATTCTTGTCGTGGGCGTATGTTGTTTATCTGCCCAGCATCTCCTCTTTGGACTACAAGCCGTTATCCCCTTCTGCTGGTAACATAATCTCTCCTTCCTATGGAAAAATCTGTTCCATGGGATTCAGCTAGGGCTGCCTTCTTCAACAGGGGGAAGCCCCTGAAGCAAGCCTGGCCAATCAGAGGACTCTATCAGTAGGCCCTAGTGGTTGGTTCAGGGATGACCACATGACCATGCAGAGCCAATAAGAATCTTCCTTGGTATTCCTATAGACAGTGCTGGCTGCCCCACCAATGTCCTTTCTCCCTTTGGTTCTCGATAACAAAACCCTAATTTTATTGGAAGCCCAGTTGAAAATACTTGCCTCTGCAGGCTTTCTTGCAGTGGGAGAAGTTATGTCACCCAGTTCTGGTCAACAGGATGTGGGGAGAAGTTGCTGGAAGGGACTTACGGGAAAGTTTCAAAAGAAACAGACTCAGACTGGCATGGCCCCTTTAGTACTAATTCTAACTGATCACTGCCTCCGTGAGAGCAAGACATCTTAACCTGGAGCTTTTGTTCCAGCCATGTGGAGAGGCTGCCTGAGAATGAAGCCCTCCAAGAGGAAAGCACAGCCAAGAGATGGAGAGAGAGGGAGGGAGAGAGAGAGGAGAAGAGAGAGGGGGGAGGGAGGGAGAGAGAGAGGAGAAAAGAGCGGGGGGAGGGAGGGAGAGAGGAGAAAAGAGGGGGGAGGGAGGGGGAGAGAGAGGAGAAAAGAGAGGGGGGAGGGAGGGAGAGAGAGGAGAAAAGAGCGGGGGGGAGGGAGGGAGAGAGAGAGGGAACAGTGTCAGGTAAGCCCCTGGATTGAGCCGTGCCCTCAGAACTTACCGATTTAGGGAGCCAGTAAATCCCTTTCCTACTTAAGCTGGATTTCTGTGTCTTTCATTGAAGGCTCAGAAGGAAACCCTCTACAAGACCAAAGCCATGCCTTTGTCTGTCTCTGTTCTCTCCTTATTTACATTATAAGATGCTAGATGCAAAGCTGGCACACAGTAAATATTAACTCAAATAGACCTTGAGCCCCCCCAATTTTTGTCTTGACAGGAGTCAAAGTAGAGCTTGGAAGGACTTGATTTCTGAACCAGACTCATTAAGGAACGCACTCATCACTTCTCTGTGGACGTCTCAGGCCAAGCACACCTCCCATGCAGTGCATGGCTTGGAATCCCTTCTCTTCACCAAAGCATTCCTTCAGCGCTCACCTCCTCCAGGTAGCCTTCCAAACCAGGTCTTAACTTCATCACCATTCCTCGCTTTGTGATTCCTTGCTTTTGCTAACACTTTGGTCCAGCTGTACTTGGTCAGATGTGTTATTTGAGCGTAGCTGTGTGTGTGTCATCCCTCTCACCTCACCCCTGGCCAACTGACTAAAGAGCTTTTTAGAACAGGGGCAGTGTCTCCACCATCAGTCTAGGAACCTTCTGGGGGCGGGGACTCTAACTCCCCTATTAGATCGGGGATCCAGATGCTGCCTCTCCTCACATCAGACTAGGCACTGCGCAGTCTAGAATCATCTCTCCATGCCTCACGAAGCCTCATCAGCAAGGCAAGAAAATACGGTCTGACCTACAGCCCTGTAGGAATGGAGAGTGGGAGGAAGAGGGGTAAGAGTGGCCCTCCTCACTCACAGGAGGGTCCCTCTTAACCTTCAGGGGAAAACTGATGAAGAGCCCATAAGGTTAGTCCTGGATCAGAATGCTATTCAGCAACTCCAGAAATATTCTAACTCAGCTCCTGTTCCCTCCTGTGTAGCAGCGTAAACAGAAACCTCCCCACACGAGGCCAGAATTCTGCCTTATAAGCCTTCTTGCTTCCCTTGTTCCTTGTCTGTTGGGTAACAATGAATCCTTTATTGGGAAGCTTGTCAAATCCACGTAGACACCGAGGGGGTGGCCATATGTTTTCTGTCTCGTGGCTCCTGTTGGATGGCAGCCCTGGAGTAGCCTGTGTAGCTGACAGTGCTGGTGGGACACAATACCACCCTCCCGCTCTCTTCAACACGCTACCCTGTCTTTGTACCTCCTGCCCCCATTCCAACACTCAAGCCTTTTCAGCAGCAGCTGTGCAGTGAGCCATTGTGGAGGAAGGATGCTAACGTAAGTTCTCGGAGAAGGTGATGGATTCCCAACAAGGGTCAGAGAAAGTCATTCGGGGAGGACAGAGCCTGAGTAAAGCCAGTCTGAGCACGGTGGGTGAGGCTGCTCTCGGAGAGCTGACCTGGAAGTACAGAGGGCAGGGAGCCAAGGTGAGGAGGGGCAAGGTGGAGAGGGCATGAAGGGCTGGCTTGTTTGGTGGGAGAGGAAGGAATTGCTGAAAGCCCTTGAATGCAAGTTGAGTCTGTATCTGGTAGAAAAAGCAGTGGGGAGATGAGGACAGATCTTGGATAGGAAAGAGACGTGATAAAAATAGTGCGAGTGATCCAGTCATCTGCATGTGGGAGGCTGAGTGCTCGGGGAAACGGAGGCGAGGTGCTAAGCCTGGATTCTGCGGCAGGATTGGTGTGCCTGTTGATGATTATGGAAGTGGGTTGGAGCTGGGGTCTAGGTGAGTGAGTCCTCATCTTTTAGACAGGCTTCATCTCTTGGAGGAAGGTGCTGGGAGCTCTGGCTTAATTCCCCAAGGGGATGATGGTTCCAGGAATGGGGGCTGCTGCTTTGGGCATCTGTTGCTGCCAAAAGTCAGTGGATCTGGGTGATCCCGTTCAACCCATGGAGAGCAGGTCTCCTTGTCCTCAGCTGCACCTGGCTGAGCTCTGCCAGAGGTGTGTGTAACCTTAGAAGTCACGAAGCATCCTGAAAGTGTTTCCATTCCCACGAGGGATAAACACATAGAACAAGAGGAATCATTCTTACTGAAGCCACTGAAGTATGTACTTAAGGATCAATAAGACTACTCTTGCGGATCTATGCTTATTCAACATTCATGCAAGAAGTAGTGATTAAGCGTCTGTTATATACAGGCACATTACTAAATACTGTATATGTAGCTATGAGTAAGACTGACATGGGCCCTCCCCTGTCAGGCATTTTGTAATTTATAGAAATAGGTGTCTCTGAACTTGTCCAGGACTTTCTTTCCATTGGCAGCAACTGGCCAGAGACCTTGATGAAGACAGGAATGGGGTGCAGGCTACCAAGAAGCTCGGGCCCAGGTAAACCGACTTGCATGGCAAGGGCGCGCCTTCAGCCTCCCCATTTTACCCACATTCATATCACACACCAAATAAGGAGAAAGATGGGACACATTTGCACAATAGTTCAAGACAGGGTCTCCATGGCAACAATTACCCAAAAATCTACTCCTGACAGCCGCAACAGCAGGAGCTAGCAAAGAAGACTCTGGGGGTGGGAGATGCGCGTGGGGGCTCAGAGGATGGCTTCCTTTTATTCTTAAACTGAAGGAAGTGCTGATGGCAGGAGCCAAGGCGTCTCAGAGCCTGACTAAGCCAAGAACCATGGGAAGGGGGAGCTGGAAGGAGACTTAAAGATGAGCTACTCTGAGGCCTAGCTGCAGAACACTCCAGGAGGATGTGCCAGCTCAGGGGTGAGGACTGGGCCATCAGGGCATCGTCCCTCCCACCACCCACTTCCGGTGCACAGGAGTTCTCCCTGCCTCCAGAGGTCGTGGGATAGGGACAAGGGGTGGACCCAACTTCCTGGGAAGTCAGGGGCTCTGGGGAGTTTGAGTCTGCCTGAAGACTGAGTCCAGTCCATGAAAACCCCCCACATGGATGCGGGTTGAGAGAACACGGGCTCTAGCCCACTCCATCCCCCAACTTGCTGTATGACCCCTCAGTTTCCCCAACAGTGAAATGTACAACCTACCTTGAAGAACCTAGTACAAGGCTGAATGAGTAGTGTGAGATGGGAAATGCTTTACCAAAGTAAATTCCAGTGCAAAGACAAGAGGTCTCCATGTGTCCAGGCAGGACAGCTTGACAAAATTAGGTGTGCCCAAGGCTCTCCTCCACAGGCAGAGCATCCTAGGACAAGTGAGTCAGTGTCAGGAATGCAAGGGGAGACCTAAGTGTGGCCAGAGAGCAGTACCAGGGAGCTGGTGGGAAGGTGGGGGCAGAGGGTGCCTTAGCAGCAGAAGCATCATCTGCTTCCTACCAGCAGACAGATGGACAGACTGACTGAGAGCAGTCAGCAAAGTGCATGACCTCCAGTCTTTAAATTTTTCAGAAGAGGTTTGGCTCAAAAGGAAAAGTATTCTGCTTTCTTTTTTGGAAAAGCCTAAATCTGCCACTACCCCACCCCGACTTCTAAGTTTACTCCTCTTGGTCTGGTAGTGCTCAAGAACCGCTGACTGTTTTTCAGATCCTGTAGATCACGACCACACTTAGGTCCCCCATTGCATTCCTGACACTGCATTCAAAACCCTGGAGAAAGGAGAAGTTCTCCATCTTTCTTTGGGGAACTAAGAAAAAAGGCAAGTTGACTCTATCTCTAGAGCAAAGAAGGCTCTGCTGCATTTGGAAATAAAACTTCTCTACCAACCCCCACAGATAGCAATCCCTTTACACTGAATTATGGTGAGAAGGGATTAAGCTAGAGTATTTCCTGAACACTTTTTTTGTTCCAGGCTCTCTCCTTTGCCCTCCCACTCTCCACCCCCAAAACTTTTCTCCTCCCTTTTTATCTCTCTAACCACGGAAAGTCCTTCCATCCCTGGGGGTCCCCAGAAGCCAATCCTCCCACCCTGGAGCTGACTTCCCTCCCTCACCTTCTGGACTGAGCAGGGAAGAGAGAGATGCAAGAGAGGTGCCATCTGAGGAAGACTGGCTGGGCCCTCAGGCAGGACCTCACAGGGCGGACTTCAGAGTGACCATCATGGTCCAGGCTTCAGGAGGGTCCAGACGGTGGGCCAGGACCCTCAACAGTGGCCACAGCCTCTCTGGACTGACCAGACTCAGTGATGAGCAACCAGCGCACCACTTCCTAAACTCAGGATGGAAGGGATGGAGGCTGCCTTTTCAGTCACTGGACTACCCATGCTCACTATTCTGGGGACTCCTTTCCTGGAGTCAGGAGACCAGGGAAGCCAAAATAAAGATCAGAAAGCCACTTGGAGAACAGAGAGCCAGCGCAAGAAGGCAATAGACCTGAGTGATGCAAAGCCCAGACCAGAGTGAGTCACCTCTTCATTCACTATTATATCATCCACTCAACAGACATCTGTGGTGTCCCTGCCATGCAGGTGCTAGCTAGGTACTGGGGACACAGTAGCGGTGGTAGGGGTGGCAGTGGTTGGGGGAGGTATGGAACTCTGTGAGAGACTCTGTTAAGACAATGAAAAGACAAGGCATAGGCTGGGAAAAAATATTCACGAATCACAATCGGCCAAAAGACTGTATCCAAACTATACAGAAGTCAACAATCAGAAACTAACAACCCAACTTTAAAACTGAGCAAAAGACACTTCACTCAAGAAGACATGCAGATGACAGATGAGCCCATGAAAAGATTTTCAACACCACCATTCATTAGAAAATAGAAATTTAACTCAGTGAGATATCACTACACACATACTAGAAAGACACATGTACAAATAAACAAAATACAAAAATTATAATAACCCTGACATTACCAAGTGCTGGTGAGGATGCAGAGCAACTAAAGCGTTTGCACATTGCTGATGGGAATGCAAAGTGTGACGTCCACCGTGGAGACACTTCGGCAGTTTCTTGTAGAGTTAAGTATATACTTTCTATATGACGCAACAGTCCCCCTTCTAGGTATTTACCCAAGAGAAATGAAAAATTTTTGTACACATACATACAAAACTGTACATGACTGTGATGGATTTTTCATAATCACCAAAAACTGATACAACCCAAATGTCCTTCAACTGGAGATAGATAAAAATCAAAAGTTAATTTAAAAAATCTGTGATGCATTCATATGATGGAATACTACTCAATGATAAAAAAGAACGAACTATTGGTACGCGCAGCAATGTGGATGCATTAAGCTAAGTGTAAGAAGCCAAACTGGAAAGGCTATATATCTTATGGTTCCATTGATTTGACATTCTGGAAAAGAAAAACCATAAGGACAGAGAACAAGTCAGTGATTGTCAGGGGTTAAAGGAAGGAGGGAGGATTTGACTACAAAGTGGCAGCATGAGGAACTGTGTTTGTCTGGTAGAATTGTTCTGTATCTTGATTGTGTTGGCGATTACACAACTCGAAGCATTTGTCAAAACACCTAGTATCATACACCAGAAAAAAATGAATTTCACTGTATGTAATTTTAAAAATAAAAAGACATTTATAATGACTATTTTGGGGAGAGTTTAAAAAAAAAAGGTGGAAATAAAATACCAGACAAGAGGGCTTCCCTGGTGGCGCAGTGGTTGAGAGTCTGCCTGCCGATGCTGGGGACACGAGTTCGTGCCCCGGTCCGGGAAGATCCCACATGCCGCGGAGCGGCTGGGCCCGTGAGCCATGGCCGCTGAGCCTGCGCGTCCGGAGCCTGTGCTCCGCAACGGGAGAGGCCACAACAGTGAGAGGCCCGCATACCGCAAAAAATAAAAAAAATTTAAAAAAAGAGGTATGTGTCATTAACCCCCATTTTACAAACGAAGAAGCTGAAGCATGTGTTATAGCTGATAAGGAGCAGAAGCAGGACTTGAATCAAGGGCCCTTCTTTTTTTTTTTTTTTTTTTTTTTTTTTGCGGTATGCGGGCCTCCCACTGTTGTGGCCTCTCCCGTTGCGGAGCACAGGCTCCGGACGCGCAGGCTCAGCGGCCATGGCTCACGGGCCCAGCTGCTCCGCGGCATGTGGGATCTTCCCGGACCGGGGCACGAACCCGTGTCCCCTGCATCGGCAAGCAGACTCTCAACCACTGCGCCACCAGGGAAGCCCAAGGGGCCCTTCTTGATTATGGACTCCACACTCCCAAACATCCCATTATGTCAACAAATGGGGAAGTTGAAGGGTGAAAAACATGTTTCAGAGCGAATTGTGGTGTCTGTGTCCCTCCTAGTGTGAACTCCCTTTGAGCTTTCCTTTCTTTGTCTTTTTCATCCTGTGATACTGAGGAGTGAAGCAGATTCTGGAAAGATAATCAGATAAGTAGGCGGATGATATAAGTTGGAGATTTTATTATAGTTTTGACACATTTCATGACAAGCAGTAATCATCCTCAGTGTTTAGTTGTCACTTGAGAAAATGTAAATGCTACATCTGCTCACGGCCTGCCTTTTCTTCCAGACAAAAGAACATATGTTCCTAACAAGGGCGTGTGCTTTGTTCATCATCGTCGGTCCTACTAGAGAAGCCTGAGCCTTGGGACAGGTGGGGATTGGCTGAATATGTATGGGCTCTCCTGTCCCCTGTAGCCCAGGCAAGCTTCCCAGGACTATTCTGGGCCGTCGGGCATTAGGGATCATCTTAGTCCCCATCTTAGTCTCATTGATGAGAAAACAAAGGTCCACAGGGAAAGTGTGGCTTCATCAAAAACCCATTGACAGCAAATGTCAGAGTCAGGCTGGGACCACACCTCTAGATTCCTCCTCCAGTGCTCTCTGAACTCCAAGACCCTCTGGAGTCTCCTCTCCAGCTGCAAGCAGGTCCCTAGGCTCCTGATGGAGGCGGCCTGAGTCCGCCAGTCTCTGGGAGTGCTGAGAATAGCCATGATCTATTGAGAAAAGGATGTGGCCCAGGAGCTCAACAGACAGATGTTCAGCACCACAGACAGCTCCGCTGGCCTAATTTACTTGAGAGGCTGGTTGCCCCTCGAGGCAGAGTGTCATGGGAGAGAGAAAAGTACTGGAATGATCTTAGAGACCACCTAGTCCAGCTCCTTGCTTTGTATGGGAGGAAACCCAGGAACAGATAGAATGACTTGTCCAAGGTCACACGGCAGGTCAATACAGAGCCAGAGAGGAGGGCCAGTAGCCCTCTTCCTCACACCTCTTCAGGGCCCTCAGATACCTGATTCCCATGACTTATTAATAGCACAGCCAGAGCTTGAATCAAAGTCTTCAAAATTTAAATCCCTTGCCTTTGGGGATGGCAAGAAAAGAAAAGAAAAAAAGAAGTAAAAAGAAACTGAAAGAGCACCCGGCCCTGATGGGAAGGTCTGTGATTTGGCCTCTAACTTCAAGTGTTTTTGGGTTTTTTTTTTGCGGTACGCAGGCCTCTCACTGTTGTGGCCTCTCCCATTGCGGAGCACAGGCTCCGGACGCACAGGCTCAGCGGCCATGGCTCACAGGCCTAGCCGCTCCGTGGCACGTGGGATCTTCCCGGACCGGGGCACGAACTCGTGTCCCCTGCATCGGCAGGCGGACTGTCAACCACTGTGCCACCAGGGAAGACCTAGCTTCAAGTCTTTGACAGGAGCTTCCTACTTCCCCAAGGTGATGTGGCATTTTAGAAACAGTTTTGTTTCCATGGCAACCTCATTCCAGGTTTCATCTCCATGGCAATTCATTGGAGTTTTTCACCCTTTTGGTAAGTACACATGTGACTGCCGATACATACATTGCAGAAAAGTTAATATAAAGCCACATTTTTAGAAGTGGAGCATCTCATTATCTAAGTCTGCAGTCCGGAGCATAACAAGGCAGGTTCCAGGGGAGACAGGGCCCATGGCATCAAGGACCCAGAGCAGTCTTTGGGGCAGGTATGCCCTCTGACTGCCATTGTAAACCTCTTCTAACCTTTACGGATCAGTGTATCTTAAGGTCACCATGGCCATAAATAATTTCTCCTTTTCTGTATCATCCCTCGTGCCCTGCTCATGACAAAGCCTCAGAGTTGCCTCTGATGGCAAGAAGTGCTGGGACAAGGAGAGAGGAAGCTGATTCTTCTGACTACAACCTCTGCAGTACCCCGGGAGTGACTCCACCTGCTTCCCTTGCCCACGCACCCCAGTTTGGCGCACGCTGGAACAGTTCCCATCTTTTGTGGCAGACCTTGCTTTCCTGATCTGTGAGCTGTGAGTACCCCTTCCGACCTGACCTAATCTGACACCTATTTTCCAGGATATCTTCATGGTTTCTAGTCCACTGAGGGCACCCCTTATGTTTTCCTGCAATGCTATAGATTTTCTTTAGTATCTGTCCCAGTGTTTATAATGACTCAGGGCTGGATGGAGTGAGTATATAGTCAACCATCTCGACATAACCCTCTCTTTCCCTCTCTACTTCTAGTGTTTTGGGTAACTTTTCTTGTCAACTTATAGTCTGTTTAATGATGGTGGTGAGTCGTTAATTTCTCTGCATCATCACCAACATCTTCATCATCAGTAGTGGTACTATTTCATGACTAAGGAGTCACCATCACATTCTGCAACAAAGAAAAGTGAGAAGTGCTCCCCAAAATATCCCCACATCCTGAACAATGAAACAGAAAAATCAAGGCATGGCGTAATTTCAAAATTTCAATCAAAATCATAAAATGTGCCAGCTCTTCACTTTCCAAATATCTTTTGAACTCAGGTAGACTTGAATGTGGACTCTGGTTCTATTGATCCTTAACTGTGGTTTCAGAGGAATGACCTAACAGTCTGAGCCTTGTTCTCTTCAGTGGAGATGAGAACAGTCTCTGCCTTGCAGGAATTATTAGATCTGGGTTATGAAAAAAATAGAAAGGATTATGAGATAAAATATGAAAAGTGCTTCACACCATTCCTGGCATGTGGAAGATCTTCTCTAAATGGCAATATTAGCACCTAAAAAGGGAGTCATTACCATGGAATTGTATTTGCATCTGACTGAAGTGAACACTTACCCTCCTTGTGTTTTGTTTATTTCATGACACGTCTCTGATCGCTATGATGCATGACGCCCCTTGAAAGCAGAGGCTGTGTCTTCAATTCAACCAAGTTTTGTGATGTTCCTAAACAGAATAAAGCGTCATGCTCGGCACCACAGAAAACACACACACAGAGGAGACAGTTCTGGTCCTCGAGGGTAGTGTAGTGATGGAGCTCTGTCACACCGTAGAGCTGCAGGGGTAAGCGATGCTGCCTCAGGGTAGGGACCCCACACCCCCGCCCCAGCTGCCATCTCAGAGACCTGGACACTTGCCTGGTTTGGCCTGCCCTGAGCTGGGTTCGGGGATCTGGACATCCTACGTACCTGGTAAGATCTTGATTGGCAAGAGAGGATCGTGGGCGGCACTCAAGGAATGCTACTCAGAGATCCCACCAAATTCCCTGGTATAAAATGTGTGACCCAGGGCTTCCCTGGTGGCGCAGTGGTTGAGAGTCCGCCTGCCGATGCAGGGGACATGGGTTCGTGCCCCAGTCCGGGAGGATCCCACATGCCGCGGAGCGGTTGGGCCCGTGAGCCATGGCCGCTGAGCCTGCGCGTCCGGAGCCTGTGAGAGGCCACAACAGTGAGAGGCCCACGTACCGCCAAAAAAAAAGTGTGACACACACATACCCACCCCCCCACCCTCCCACACACACACCCTTCCCCCAACATTGGAATGCTGGATGTGGCCATTTTTTGTCTGTGCCCACCACTTGTCAGGCTTCACTGTCCCTTCTAAACCTCCCCTAACACTCCAGGCTGCTCTTGGTCTGCTGCTGAGTTGGGGTCTAGGGAGAGTTTGGGCAGAGCGACTCCCAGAAGCCAGACCAGCATGGCTCTGTGTGAACTGGATTCAGACAAACAAGTGGGAAAGTAAGTGGATGTTGTGATGTAAGCCCTTCCTAGTGTCCCCCATTCCAGAGGACCTCTTGCTAGTGAGAGCACAACTGACCCCAGATATTCCATCCCTGACTCAGAGGAAGGGAAGCAGAGGGTTTGACCTAGTCCCTGAGACCCTCAATACCCGAAGGCTAGTGGTCCTGAGGAGCAGTGCAAGTACCCGGGGCTGCAGGCCGGGCTAGACTCCAGTTCTGCTATCGCCTTGCTCACCCCAGTGCCTGCACGGTACCTGGCCCACAGGAGATTCCCAGTAGACACTCATTGAAAGGATGAACAGGGGCAAGTCCGTTAAATGGAAACTTAGTTTCCTCTCCTATAAACAGGCTCATGGGAGAGTGTGTGCTCTTACTCACCGAGCTGTTGTGGACAGCAAACAAGAGCATATGGAGGGAAGGCTGGAGTCACAGGCAGGGCTGAATCCTAGCTCTGCCCCTTCCTGGCTGGGTGACCTCAGACAACCTCTTAGAGCCTCAGTTACCTCACCTGTAAAATGGGAGCAGTAATGAAACCTTCCTCAGCAAGGTGGGAGCTCAGTGCTCCGCTCATTAGACACACGATACATTATTTTTGTCCTGATTATGAGAGTGCTTTGAAACCTACAAAATGCTTTGCAAATACGAGTTACTATTTTTCTGTCCAAGATCCCTTTTCAGAGAACCAAATATATCTTGCTGGGGAAGAGTTCACACCTTAAACAAAAATAATGATAATCATAATCATTGTCTTTATTGGCTGTTTATCACATGCCAGGCACTGTGTCGGCTACTTTATACTCATCGTCTCATGGGAGCCGTGGCTACTATGGCTTCCATTCTATAGATGAGGAAACTAAGGCTCAGAGAGATTGAGTTACTTCCCCAGTCACAGAGCCAGGAAGCAGGGTGGCTAGGATTTCAAAGACCAGCGTCCAGGACTTCTCTTCTGAACCCAGGACCTCCAGAGATTTGGCCCCTGAATCTTGGGCAGCCCTTGTTGGAAGATCTCTCCCTGCACAGGGGTGGGGAGTGAGGAGAGGGCATTGGAGAACCAGGCTCTTTCTTGGTCCAGTGCCCGATGCCCCAGGCTCAGGACTCTGATCTAGTCCTGCCTTTCCCCTGAAGCACTATGCTTCGTGCGCTCGCTCTTTGGTAACTAAGGGTGCCCACCCCTGAGGTTTATATAAGAGAGCTCTGTAAACACATTGCAGGACATCAGGGCTTCAAAAGAACTAAGATGGACTGCAGAAGAGATGTCACCCTCCACCCTTCCCTGGACCCCACTCACACTTGCTAGTTTCCTGTTTGGGGCTTGAGCCTGGCTTTGTGTGCACCTGCCTGTGTGTGCATACTTGTCCACATGGGTGTGCCAGTCATGGGATGGAGTGCACAAACACACATGTTAGTACATGTCTTCATTGTCCTTTTTCTTCTTTACAGTGAGAAAATCCTGCAAAGCTTCCCCATTAAGGCTTTTCCTTTTTCAGCAAATTCAGGAAACTTAACTCTTGAATCCCCTTCTCTTGCCCCAGTTGCAGATCCATTTTATTAGAGGGAAGTTCTCGTAGTGTTTGCTCCAACTTGGTCAGCCAGAAGACAGTGTCTAAGCTGTGTCCCTGCCAAAACTCCCATTTTTCCTGTCATTTGGGTTTTACGTGAACACCTGCGGCTCTCTGACCTCCATTCTTCAGGCCATCGGGTCAGCCGGGCTCCAGACAGCTGTGCTACACAGAGCCAGATCCCCAGGTTGCCCCAGTTGTTCAAGGCTGCTCTCACCAGATCAAGCTGGGCTACTTACCCAAACCATCAACAGAGCATTCTTCACATTGTGGGTTTAACTCTGCAGTAGTTTCTGGCCCCTATCCTTTACTGGACTGGCCTAACTGGATGAACTCTCCCAGGTCTGAGATTGGGGTGGTGGGGTGGGTGTGGGTGGGAAGATGACACATCCTAATGATGATGATTCTTTTTTTTTTTTTAATATTTATTTATTAATTTATTTGGTTCCACCGGGTCTTAGTTGCCGCACGCGGGCTCTTTTAGTTGCGGCATGCATGTGGGATCTAGTTCCCCGACCAGGGATGGAACCCGGGCCCCCCCTGCATTGGCAGCACGGAGTCTTAACCACTGGATCACCAGGGAAGTCCCTAATGATGATGATCCTGGTTACACAGGAGGGCTCAGGAGCCAGGAGGATTCTGAATCCTTCATAATCAGTGACCATCATGGGCTTCCCTGGTGGCGCAGTGGTTGAGAGTCCACCTGCCGATGCAGGGGACACGGGTTCGTGCCCCGGTCCGGGAAGATCCCACAGGCCGCGGAGTGGCTGGGCCCGTGAGCCATGGCCGCTGAGCCTGCGCGTCCGGAGCCTGTGCTCCACAACGGGAGAGGCCACAACAGTGAGAGGCCCGCGTATCGCAAAAACAAAAACAAAAACATAGTCAGTGACCATCTATGCTTTTGTTGAGATGCTGTGCACCCCCTCGCAAACCTCGTAGGGAACTAGTGTTGGAGACATGAGATGGCGCTCATACAAGAGAAGTATACTTCTCTTCCCAAAGCCAAGTAAGGCTTCAGCCACCTTCCTTCTCATTCACCTTCACTTCCACCCATGGCAAAAGAGAGAAGAGGGGGAGAAATCCACTAGAGCCCTCCCCCCAAATCTTCCAAGCACCAGGGTGCCTGAGTGGGGTTGGCACTAGGGCTAAGGGGGATATACACAAGCTACAAAGACCAGCTTTCTCTCCTCCTGTCCCCCACCCCCCAGTTTCAGTTCTTCCCCAGACCAGACACTTGCAGAGAGCAGAGCCACTCACACTCCCCCTTGGCTGTGAGTGCCAAGGTTCTAACTGCTTAACACGGCTTTAAGGAAATTCTGCACCTATAAGAGGTGCCAGGGTTCTGGGAAGCAGGGGGCATCTCATAATGGGAGCTTCCAAATTCCCTGAACACAGCTACATTGGAGGTCATTTGCTCCATTTTAAACATCCTGGGTCCTTCAAACCACAAAGCCCTCTCCCAAGCATACATTCCACCCACCCAAACTCTCCTCCCCATGCTGCAAGGGCACATCTTCAGAATCTGCTCACCTACCCTCTACAAGGGTAGCGTCAAGCAAGCCCTTACATGGGGCTTTGGGCCCTATAATTAAAATTTCCCTCGATCTAGACTGCTGCCCACACATTAATTGAATTTTATTTGCCCACTGTCCTGATGTATTATTTTTGCTATTTTCTCCGTTTTGGACTCAAGTAACTGATTTTTTTTTTCCATCTCACGGAATAGATTCAAATTTTCCAGGGATTTAATTGATCTAACCAGCTATCCCGCCAGCCTGCAGGACCTGCCTCCCTGGCTGTCCGCGTAGAAAACAGGACCTTTTTTCCTCCCCGGCTGCAGCTTCCGAGTGGGTCTCAGAAGCCCGCGACCAGCCCCGACAGCTGCCCAGTCCTGAGGCCTGGCGTCCTGTGACCTGCCTAAAGTACTTGCTAGTAGGCTACACACGGCCCACCCCCGCCCACCCCCACCCCCACCATACACACACATCCCACAGGAGTGCGGGCGGAAGCCGCGGGGAGCCCGACGGCTGTAGCTTTATTGCAAGATTTCTTCTCAAATGCGAAATCAAGCCAACAAGCTCAGTGACTCGGATTCGTCAACAGCGGCGCCCCCCCGCACGCTGCTCGGAACTCGCGCCCACTCCACCCCACCTACGTACACACAAAGTTCCCACGCCGGTGACCTCAGCCCCAAGTGCATCCCACAACCTCTCCCACCCTGCCCAGAACTTCCTTTCAAAGTAACAGTTAAGAACCCCCATCCTCTACCCTCCCACCCCCCAACGCTGGACCGCACGCAGGACCGAGTCGGGTGTGGAAGTCCCTTCCCGCGCCGCCGCCTAAGGTCCCGCAGTGGCCCGGGCCCGGGCGCCCGGAGGCACGTCGCTGCCCCTCGCGCTGCCCGCCGAGAGGCGGCGGCAGAGCCCGGGGAGGGGGAACCAGGGTCCTGGGCTCCCTTCTCCGTCTTCTTCCAGCCAAGCTGCCGAGGGCGGGCCGAGGCGGCGCTCAGTACAGCCCCAGAATGGCAGCGCCCACGTCCTTGGAAGGCCGGCGCTCCTGCATCAGAAAGTTAATCATGCTCTCCGACTTGATGAGCAGGTTGCAGCCCAGGAAGAAAACGCCGAAGACCACGGTGAGCGACAACACGCAGAGCACGGCAATCTGCGCCACGCGCGACACCCACAGGCTGCGCTCATCCGGAGCCAGCCCCGCGGGGACCCCGTCACTGGCGGACAGCGGCGCGCCCCCGGGGCAGCAGCCCAGCCACGTGCCCAGCCCGTGGCTGCGATTTCCCACGGCGGCCCCGCCGCCGCCGCCGCCGCCCAAGCCACCCGCCGCTTCCAGGCCGCTGTGGTTCAGGAAGGTCGCGTTCATCGCCGCTCGGCGCCCGGGGTCTTGGCGCGCGGTCCGGGGCACACCGGGAGGCTCTCCGGCGTCCGCGCTCTCGGAGACGCTCGGGTCCACCTGTGTGCGTGGAGAGCAAGAGGGCGGGGGGCTGCCCGCGCGCCGCACCCCTCGGGCCGCCGGCCCCTGGGCACCTGGCGGGAAGCGGCGGCCGGGAGAAGGCAGCAACAGGCTTTGCGGGAGCTGGAGCGGCAGAGCCGAGCGCGCCTCGCGGCACCGACTGCGCTCCTCGCACTCCCCGCCGCCCCCCCCCTCGCAACGGCCCCCCCCCCCCCCTCCCCCCCCCCCCCCCCCCCCCCGCCCCAGGCCCTGCAGCGTCCTTGGGGGGCGGGAATCCCGCAGCGATCGCAGCTCCCCTAGTGTCCCAAGGCTGGAAGGGATCGGGAGATCAGGGCAGCCCCGCCCTCGGTCGGCGAAGCTCGACACCCTCGGGGCAGCCTTGGTTCCAGCCGGGAAAAATCTCCCAAGGAACCTCTTCTGGGATTTGGTGCTCTTAGCAGTTAAGTTCTTCTTGAAGTCTGCCCTAAGTCTCTTCTCCGCTCTTTACTGAAGTCGCAGCAAGCCTTCCCAGATGTCAGAGGTGTTGCAGAGACCCCTCCCCTCGCCCCAGCGTTGCCTTCCCTCTCCTCTCTCCCCTCGTCACTGGGCAATGGCCCTGGGTGGCCGGCCGTGCCCCGCCGCTCCCACCCAGGTCCTCCCAGCCTCGCTCCCACCATCAAGGTGAGGAGTACTCTCTGCCTCCTTCCCACCTCGCCCCCAGCCCTCCCCGTTTGACATTTTCTTAATTTAAAATTGTTATTGCATTTTTCCCTTCTCCATTCCTTTTCACAAATACACGTCATTGTAAACTTGTTAGAAATTACCGATTAGCAAAACACAAAAAAATCTAAAAGCTCGTAATCCTACCACCCAGAGAGTGTCCATGTCACCGCCTTGGTACAAAATCTTCCTGTCCTTTTTCTATGTGTGTCTTTATATATGTATTCAGAATAGGGACGCACTGTTCATACATGCTGTTTTGTAACCCTTTGTCATTTAACAGTTTATCCTTTGGTAATGATAAATATTCACCTACAACAGTGGTTCTGAATTGCCCAGGGGGCTTGTTAAAACCCAGATTCCCGGGCTCAGCCCAGAGTTTCTGAATCAGTAAGCCTGTGCATTTCAAATAAATGCTCTTGCTGCGCCTCCTAGATGCACTTTGAGAATTACTGGTCTGCAGCATCATTTTTAGTGAAGGAATTGTATATTGTAGTCAAAGTACAGACTGCTACAATTTATTTAACCAAATTCTCTGTTTTTGGATATTTGACTTGTTTCTCTCCCTTTCTTTCTCTTTCTGCCTCCCTTCCTTCCTCCCATTCCTTCCCTTCTTTCTTTCTTTCCTTCCTTCCTTCCTTCCTCTCTTTCTCTCTTTCTCTTTCTCTCTTTCTTTCTTTCTTTCTTTCTTTTGTCAGAAACAAGATTACCATAAAGAAACTTGTAATGAAATCTTGGTAGAGAAACTGTAATTTTATTTATTTATTTTTTTATTTTTTTGTGGTACGCGGGCCTCTCACTGGTGTGGCCTCTCCCGTTGCGGAGCACAGGCTCCGTCCAGACGCGCAGGCTCAGCGACCATGGCTCACGGGCCCAGCCGCTCCGCGGCACGTGGGATCTTCCCGGACCGGGTCACGAACCCGCGTCCCCTGCATCGGCAGGCGGACTCTCAACCACTGCGCCACCAGGGAAGCCCAGAAACTGTCATTTTTTATTTCTATTATATTTTGAAAAATGGACCTGCAGAATCAGTAAATCACATCTAACCAAATTGCCCTTGAGAAATGTACCAGTTTACACACCAGCCCTGTGGAGAAAGAGCATACTGCCCCCAGTCCTGTTTATTGTCAATATTTAAAAATCATCGTGTGAATTTAGGGGCTAGTGGATGGTTTCTCACCCTTGTATTCTTTGATTGTTGAATCAAAGGAAAGAAGGAAAGCATTCAGGACTTTTTGCAATAGTCCAGGCAAAAGATGGCTGGCTGGAGACTTGGATTCCAGTGGTGGCAGTGGGAGGAGAGATAAGTGGATGGAAAGAAAGGGCTTGGCAAATTGGAGGAAGGGGATTCAGGATGCCTCCAGCACATGAGCATCCCAAAGCCACCCCCTCACTATTAGTAGAACACTAATTTGTGTGTGTGTGTGTGTCCTGCGAAGCTATTAAATTTCTCATTTTAAAGATGAAGAAACTAACATGTATGCACACACACACACACACACACACACACAGGAGAGATTAGGGAAAGACCCAGCTCACCTCCTCAGTCTTAAGAAAGCAGCCTGGCACAAGGGCACTCAGAGTTTTCTGGGCAGGAGTCTCCCTTTCCTGACCACCCCTCAGAGCCATGATAGAACAGGATGAGAACAGGTATCTGGCCTAGACATTTTGTCCTCTGCTTTTGACCAGCTGGGTTTCTTTAGAGAAATGCTTTTATGTCTTTTGTCCATCCTTTTCCTGAGACCAACCCCTGACCTTTGATATACCCTGGACTTGGAGCCCATGGCTTTGACCCCATCCAGCTGAGGTCAGTCAAGCTGTCTGCTGCACAGAAAGGTTGGGGAGGGTGAGTAAAGGTGGGGTACAGGGGCCTGCCTACTCCAGCAAGAGGCTGTGAGGAGGCTCATGGTTGGCCTTTCCTTTATTAAGCACCTATTATATGCTCAGTGCATTAAATATATTACCTCACTGAATTCTTACAGTGGATGTCCCCTTGACATGAGGAAACAGAGACTCAGAGTGGTTATTTGACTTACTTAAGACCACACAGCTAGTTAAGCATCAGAGCCAGAATTTGAGCCGAGATCTGTCCTGTTCCAAAGCTACACTCTTTTTTTAAAAAATTTATTGAAATATGGTTGATTTACAATGTTGTGTTAATTTCTGCTGTACTGCAAAGTGACTCAGTTGTACATATATATTTTTTCATATTCTTTTCCATTATAGTTTGTCACAGAATATTGAATGTAGTTCCCTGTGCTATACGGTAGGACCTTGTTGTTTATCCATCCTGTATATAATAGTTTACATCTGCTAATCCCACACTCCCAGTCCTTCCCTCCCCTACCAACCCCTCCCTTGGCAACCACAATTCTGGTCTCTAGGTCTGTGAGTCTGTTTTTGTTTTGTAGATATGTTGGTTTGTATCGTATTTTAGATTCCACATATAAGTGATATCACGAGGTATTTTTCTTTCTCTTTCTGACTTACTTTGCTTAGTATGGTAATCTCTAGGTCCATCCATGTTGCTGCTAATGTCATTATTTTATTCTTTTTGATGGTTGGGTAATATTCCAGTGTGTGTGTGTGTGTGTGTGTGTATAGAGATAGATATAGGTATAGATATAGATATATCAATACTACATCCAAAGCTACACTCTTAATTATAACTGTCCCCTTTCTTCCATCATCCCTGGGCAGCTTTCTCTGGTTACGTGGCAGGAGAGGAAGATGTTGTCTGTGACCTGGGAGCAGGAAGGGAGAGAGAGAAACTTGGGCTTGTGGAAGTAAACAAAGACCACCCAAATGAACAAGCAAAGGCTATTCATTCACAGCTTACTACAGTAGGGGAGTCAGCCACCATTACTTGAGTTTGGCAGAGACACAAAGGCAGATAGAGGAGCGGGAAAGCTTTGTAGCAGCAAAAAGGGCCGGCTTCAGGTGTGCCCCGATTGGAGGCTGCTGGCATAGAAAAGCTATAGGTGGGATGACTAGACGAGCGGCAGCCCATGTGATTGGTTAGGGGAGCATATTTAACTTTCTCCAATTTGTACTGTGTTGAAAGCGGGGGCAAAATTAGGGAAGCTTGTTATTGATCAAGGCCTGGATGTTTGGGGCTGGTTGCTACAGGGGTTGTGGTTCGGCTTCCTGGGCTGTTGCTATAGGTAGTGGGTAAGAGCACTATTTTTTTTTTTCCCCTTTGGTACGCAGGCCTCTTACTGCTGTGGCCTCTCCCGTTGCGGAACACAGGCTCCGGATGCGCAGGCTCAGCGGCCATGGCTCACGGGCCCAGCCGCTCCGCGGCATGTGGGATCCTCCCGGACCGGGGCACGAACCCCCGTCCCCTGCATCGGCAGGCGGACTCTCAACCACTGCGCCACCAGGGAAGCCCCAGAGCACTATTTTTATATACGGTCTGGCCGTTGTATATTCAGTCTCTCAGACTCCTTCCCAGAGTTCAGGAGTGGGAGACCTGCCTGGCCTGGATTCAGCCAGGTGCTCCCTCCTTCTGCTTTTCCCTTCTGCCCTTTCTGGAGTCACTGGTCCCAGCAAGTCCGGTTGCTATTTGATTGCATTAACTGCTTTTTTTTTTTTTTTTTTTGAGGGGGCCACCTGAGTGGCTTGTGGGATCTTAGTTTCCTGACCAGGGATTTGAACCCTTGCCCTCGGCAGTGAAAGTGCAGAGTTCTAACCACAGGACTACCAGGGAAGTCCCTGCATTAACTCTTAATTCGTATAATATCCCTGAAAGAGAAGTACATTACTTATCTCTGCATCACAAATCACCCCCAAATTTAGCAAATATTTATTAGCTCACATAGCTTCTGAGGGCCAGGAAACTGGAAGCAGCTTAGCTGGGTTGTTCTGGCTCAGGGTCTCTCATGAGGCTGCAGTCAAGGGGTTGGCCAGGGCCACAGTCACATGAAGGTTCCACTGGGGGTAGGGGATCAGCTTCTAACAGGACTCCCCAGCAGAGCTATTGTCTGGAAGCCTCAGTTCCTGGCCCTGGAGACCTTCCGTAGGGCTGCTTGAAGTCCTCATGACATGCAGCTGGCTTGCCTTAGAGCAACTCTTGAAGAATGTGCTGGAAGGTGAGCAACCAGTGGAAGGGGGAGGGGCAGAAGAGTGAGGTTGCAGAGTAGAACATGTCAGCTGTCATTGTTACTTAATCTTCACAGCGAGCCTTGCAGAGAGAAGTCAGAAGCCCCATTTGACAGATGAGAAAATGGAGGCTCCGAAAGGAGAAAAATCTTGCCTGAGGTCACAGAGCTGGTACCTGGCACAGCCAGAATTTCAGCCCTTAGCTACCTTATAACCCAGCCCAAGTTTGTTCCAGCACGTTCTTTGTGCTTTGGGGGGGAGGGGGAGGGGGGAGGGGAGTGTTTCGCTGTTAGAGAAAGACCACCCTCCCCCCAGGCCCCAGGGCTTGGGAGGGGCCTCAGGAGCCTAAGAAGGTGCCTGTCAACTGGGCTGCCTTCCCGCTCTAGAAAGAGGAAGCCAGAGCCTCTGGGCCCAGCGGCCACCCACACAGGACTATTTTTACCCTCCACCTCAGTGACAAGCCTGCATCTCCCAGCTCTGGAAAGGCCGTCTGGGCAGTCTGGCTGCCCCAGGAAGAACCTCCACCCAGAGGCCACCGTTGTCCCCGCAGCTGTTTCTAGATGAACCTCTAGCTGTCCACCATGCCTTGGCCATCCGGGGTTGGTAAGACGATTCCACCCGTAGATTCAGAGACTAATAAAACATCCCCAATTAGTATCAGTTGCCGGATGGACCTATCTGAACCGAAATGTTTACATCTGAAGGTATTTTA